CAGAAGAACATTCTCCAGCTCCATCCATGTGAACATGAAGGATGTAAAGTCTCCATCCTTCTTAATGGCTGCATAGTATTCCATGGTGTACATGTCTCCAATTTCGTTGCTGCTTTTGGCTATTTGAGTCTTGTCTGTTTCTTAGACTAGCTAAAAGTTTGTCAAGTTTGTTAACATTTTAAAGATCCAAACGTTTGGTTATGTTGATTCTCTCTGTTGTTTTTCTATTCTCTATTTTGTCTATCTCTGCTGTAGTCTATTATTTCCTTCCTTTTGCTAGCTTTGGGTTTAGTTTAATCATAAACATTTTAATGATGTTTTATTGGACATGGTTCTCCGTAGGGTATAGGTAACAAAAACTGACTCAGCTCAATGTAGGCAATACAAAGAGTCAGGAAACCTTGAATTCAAAAGGCTAATGGGTCTCACTCACTCTTGCTTCATTCCTTTCTCAGCTGCACGTGGCCTCTTTGATGTCTTACCTTTGTGTTGGGACCAGACTATCTATCTTGCTTCTGTACTCATGATTTCTGCCAGATTAAACTGCAACCTCTTAGTCCTAATGCCAAAATTCCTGGGGGAGGGACCCTGAGTGGTTGCCCTTGAGTCTGAGTGGCTGTGGTCATGGTGGACAGATCATTGTGTAAACAACCATTGCTCCACTGTGAGGTGTGGACAGAGATGGTAGGGAGGAAGCAGTGCCAGGAAAGAGGAGGGATTGGACAGAAAAACAGCAGTTATCCTTCCCAAAGGACAGTGGGCAATGTCCAGACAGTTTGGGTATTCTCAACCGCAGGGGAGGGGTGCTGCTGGCATCTAGTGGGTGAAGGGCCAGGATGCTGCTAAACATCCTATGGTGCACAGAACAGCCCCGGCACTGAAGAATTTTCCAGCTCCAAACATCAGAGTCTAAGTAACCTATTTTACAGGGATGCTCTAGAGAAAGCAGCCTGGTGAATTTTAGGCAAAGCTTTCCTGAGTTTTAGCAGTTCGACCTTTGTGCTGATGAAATGACTATTCTGAGGCAGGCAGAACACATGTGATACATGTGTTTATAGAGAGCTGAGAGGAAGGAGCAGCAATGTCTGGGCTTACAGATTGGCAACTCCCAGGCTAACTTCTCTGCAAGGTCACAAACCTGTGTTGAAGGCCAGGCACAGTGGCTCACGCCTATAATCTTAGTACTCTGGGAAGCTGAAGTGGGTGGATTTCTTGAGCTCAGGAGTTGGAGACCAGCCTGAGCAAGAGTGAGACCCCTATCTCTAAAACAATAGCTGGGCATTGTGGCAGGCACCTGTAGTCTCAGCTACTTGGGAGGCTGAGGCAAGAAAATCGCCTGAGCCTAAGAGTGTGAGGTTGCTGTGAACTGAGCAACTGAGGCACTCTACTAGGGGCAAGAAAGTGAGACTCTGCCTTAAAACAAAGCAAAACAAACCCGTGTTCAAACCCAATCACTTTCAGTCCCAGGCTAACCCTGCCAAACACCACTCATTTCAAAAATCTTTTACCCCCTATACTTCACTGTTTCTTCATCTTCATTTTATTTTTGCTTTCCTGAACATGTAACCATTATAAACTATAAATACACAACTATCCCGCCCCCCACCCCCCAGCTCTGGTTCACTGTGCTTTTCTGTCACTGTGTCCCTGTGTGTCTAGATTATGAGCTTCACAAAGTATAGGGGCCAATAGGTGGTTTCTGTTTGTCTGGGATCGACCATTCTTGGAATAGAGCCCTGCACACAGAAGGTGCTGACTGTTGCATGGGGCCACACTTTCCCACCAGGTTTGATGCATAGTTCTGGGCTTGTACAACTGTTACATTTTAATGAAACTGGATGTTTATTAAAAGTAATGATTTGTGGGTCAGGCCCAGTGGCTCATACCTGTAATCTCAGCACTTTGGGAGGCTGAGGTAGATCATTTGAAGCCAGGAACTTTCTTTTTGTTTATTTGTAAATACAGAATCTTATTCTTTGGCACTGAATAGCGTGCCAAGGCATCATCATAGCTTACAGCAACCTCAAACTCAGGCTTAGGCAATCCTTTTGTCTCAGCCTTCTGAGCAGCTGGGACTACAGGTGCCTGCCGAGACACCTGGCTAGTTTTTCTGTTTTTTTAGTAGAGACTCAGCTTTTGCTCAGGCTGGTCTCAAACTCCTGAGCTCAAGTGATCCACCTGCCTTGACCTCCCAGAGTGCTAGGATTATAGGCAGGAGCCACTGCACTTGGCCTGAAGCCAAGAATTTAAGACTAGTCTAGGCAACATATCAAGACTCTGTCTCTAAATAGAATAATAATAAATATCTGAGGATGGTAGCACATGCTTGTAGTCCTAGCTGTGCAGGAGACTGAGTGGGAGGATCCTTTTGCCCAGGACTTAGAGGTTATAGTGAACTATGATTAGGACATTGTACTTTAGGCCAGTGACAGTGAGTATCTATTTAAAAAAAAAAAAAAAAGATTCTTGGGCATTAGCCACAGAGAGCCAAATTGAGTAGGTTGGAAATGGACTCAATAGAAAGGTCCATTCAAATGGACCTTGAATTTGGTGGCTTTTTTTTTTTTTTTTACAATCACCCTAGGTGATTCTGAAGAGGTTAGCTACCTGGAGTGGATAACTCTCACCCTAGAGGTCATTTAGGTCTTTCTGGGAATAAGTCAAAAGCAAAGGCAGTTATCAGAAAGACCCAACTGGACCAGTTTGAGTTTACTATCTATGCCAGGATTTGCAGCGGTCCCTGAGAGTCACTAATTAAAGCGTGGACTTTTTTTTTTCTCTCTCTCTTTTGTTAAAGGTATTATGCTGGCTGGGCAGATAAGTACCATGGGAAAACCATTCCCATTGATGGGGACTTCTTCAGCTACACCCGCCATGAACCTGTGGGGGTATGTGGGCAGATCATTCCGGTGAGTGTCAGCCTTTCCTGAGCTTCTTCAAGACAGCTGTGAGATTCAGTAGTCTTGTCCAGGTTTCTTGCAAAGGTGGAGGTTCTAGGGGTGGCTCAGGTGGTGGTTGAGCAGATGGGCTCAGACAAAGCCAGCTTCAGTGCACGTCTGAGCCTTGCTGCTGGTGGACTCTGCGACCTTGGGCAAGTCACTTATCCCTCTAAGCCTTAGAGTCCCCATCTGAAGAGTGGAAATGAATATAGTGTCTATCTTAGGGAGATAATGATTAGGGCTTAGCACAGTGCCTTGTACTGAAAAGCACTAATAAACATGAATTATCACCCACCACCTCCTTGTCCATCTGCCTTAGACCTACAATCAGGTTGTAGGGGACACATGGGGTCCAGAGAACTTGCTGCTACTTCTACTCTTGGAGGATAGCACTTTTTGTTACCCAGTGTATGTAGCTCTCAGAGGAAGGCTTGGATCTTGGGGGTGGCTTTTATTTATTGCAATGTTTGGGCAGCACCTGTGGCTCAGTGAGTAGGGTGCCGGCCCCATATACCAAGGGTGGAGGGTTCAAACCCAGCTCTGGCCAAACTGCAACAAAAAAATAGCCAGGCATTGTAGTGGGCACCTATAGTCCCAGCTACTCAGGAGGCTGAGGCAAGAGAATCGCCTAAGCCCAAGGAGTTGGAGGTTGCTGTGAGTTGTGACGCCATAGCACTCTACTGAGGGTTTATAAGTGAAACTCTGTCTCAAAAAAAAAAAAAAAAATTATTATTGCAGTGGAACTTCCCACTCCTGATGCAAGCCTGGAAACTGGGCCCAGCCCTGGCGACTGGAAATGTGGTTGTGATGAAGGTAGCTGAGCAGACGCCCCTCACTGCCCTTTATGTGGCCAACTTGATCAAGGAGGTGCGTAGCTTGTTCTAGCCTTGACCTCTAAATGCCCTTGTTTAGGTTTGCTCTAAAGGAGTTCCAAGGAAAGGACTCCACATCACCATACATAAACCAAGGTCATTGCAGCATCCCCTACAAAAAGTGAAAATGACTATTCTAAGTGACAGCTCTGGACAGAGGGGAAAAGCCACAGGAACCCCAGGGAACAGGCTCCTTGTCCATTCCATTGAGAATTAGAGCCCCATGAAACCACCTCTGCTTATGTGTTGTCCGACAAACCGTCTTAGCCTCTCTGGAAATGGGTGTGTTCCATTGTTAAGGCCCTTTGGAGCAGGATGGTGACTCCTAGTGTTCCCTGGCTGTTTGCTCACAGGCTGGCTTTCCCCCCGGCGTGGTCAATATTGTTCCTGGATTTGGCCCCACAGCTGGGGCTGCCCTCGCGTCCCACGAGGATGTCGACAAAGTGGCATTCACGGGTTCCACCGAGGTAAGGTGTCCCTGGGTCCTTGAGCTTTTGGTGTGTTTGGCTCAAGTTCCTCCTATCCTCAAAGGACTTATATTCTGGAGAGTCCTGGCTGTGGTGTGGAGGGTCTCTGCCCTGAGGTCGAAGACGTGCCTCTGTTTAGCTCTAGGGAAGGCCAGGTTGAGCCCTTTGTGCTTTGCTTGTCACACTTGTGCTGAGGAGAGGGCCCAGCATCCCATGTAGAATAATAAGGAGGCTGAGACTGACTAAAGCCCAGAGCTGACCACTTGCCTCATATCAAAGCACTGTGAGCACGCCAGGCTCTTTGACTGGCACTGCCATTGCGGTTAAAAACTGGGCGCTCGGCTCGGCGCCTATAGCTCAACCGGCTAAGGCACCAGCCACATACACCTAAGGTGGCGGGTTCGAATCTCCAGCCTGGACCCGCCAAACAACAATGACGGTTGCAACCAAAAAATAGCTGGGCGTTGTGGCGGGCGCCTGTGGTCCCAGCTACTTGGGAGGCGGAGGCAGGAGACTCGCTTGAGCCCAGGAGTTGGAGGTTGCTGTGAGCTGTAATGCCACGGCACTCTACCCAGGGGGACAGCTTGAGGTTCTGTCTCAAAAAAAAAAAAAAAACTGGGCGCTTTGGAAAGATAGGAGTTCAAATCTTGGCCTTGCCATTATAACATGACTGATTCATGAATGTCTTTGAGACTCTGTTCGTTGTTTTTTTTTTTTTGAGACAGAGCCTCAAGCTGTCCCCCTGGGTAGAGTGCCGTGGCATTACAGCTCACAGCAACCTCCAACTCCTGGGCTCAAGCGAGTCTCCTGCCTCCGCCTCCCAAGTAGCTGGGACCACAGGCGCCCGCCACAACGCCCGGCTATTTTTTGGTTGCAGCCGTCATTGTTGTTTGGCGGGTCCGGGCTGGGGATTCGAACCCGCCACCTTAGGTGTACGTGGCTGGCGCCTTAGCCGGTTGAGCTATAGGCGCCGAGCCTGTTCGTGTTTTTTAAAATGAGGACGGCAATATCTGAGTGGTAGAGACAGTGTGGGTAGGGCAGTGGGGAAGACAATGGACTCTGGAGTCAAACTCACTGAGCAGAGCTTACTAGCTGGGCGACCTTGGGCAGGTCATGTAAGCTTCTGAAGCCTCCATTTCCCTACCTGTAAAGTGGGGGTAGTAACTATATCCATCTCACAGGGTGAGTGAAGGGGAGATAGAGCTTCTAGTACTTAGCCCAGAGTAAGTGCTAAAAGAGAGTGAGTGACTGGCTGAGGGTCTAGTTCTGCTGCTGTGAGACAGACAAAGTAAAGTATCTGGCGAACCTTAAACATAACCTTCTGGAAAACATAGACAGAATTCCTTTGAAAGAAGTAAACTTTTTCCTCTCCCAGTCAGCATGTAACTTCTGAGAAGGAACCCCAAATAGTGTAATGAGTGTGAGCTTCAAACTAACGTACCTGCCATAAAGACACCTTCAGACATTGGATCTGCACACAGGGACAACAGCACTGGGGAGGGCAGAGGAGTGGCCGGGATAACTCGGTCAGGTTCTGTGCTTAGTCACTGCCTAACTTAATGCTGAGAGGTGATGATGAGAATCTGACCGAGGGGCCAGTTTCCTCGTGGAGATACATGTGTTCATCCAGCAAAGAAGCACAGGGAGGCTTTGTGCCAGGCTGTGGGAAGCCCCAAAAGTGAGACAGAGTGAGAAGCACCCTGTCATCCCCTCATGGAGCATGGTGTGTTCGGGGACAACATTCCAGACAACATGAGGAGAAGGCTGGATAGTAGATCTGAACTGGTGCTGGAATCAACTGCCCCAGTGTGGATTCATAGTTCACATTTACCAGCTGTGTGACTTTGGGCAAGCGACTTGACTACTCTGAGCCTCAGCCTTCATGTTTGTAAACCATGGAGAAGAGTTACCTGCACCTCCTGATCATTACAAGGATAGAATTTTAATATAGAGCATTTAGCACAGTGCCCGGCATGTGGGCAGTGCTCAGTGCGCACAAGTGAACAGCAATGACTGTTCATATTGCTGTGATCATTGTCATCCCAGAAGCTCAGGGCTAGGGCAGCTCACTGAACATCTATCTTTGGTGGACTTTCCAGGTCTCCTGTAATCCGGGTATTTGCCCAAGTTATAGAGTCCTCTGCTCTGGGTCTGTTTATAGTATTTGCCCTCCCTTTGCTGTGAACTGGTCTTTGTTTCTGTTCCTGTAGATCGGCCGCGTAATCCAGGTTGCTGCAGGGAGCAGCAACCTCAAGAGAGTGACCCTAGAACTGGGTGGCAAGAGCCCCAATATCATCATGTCTGATGCTGATAGTAAGTGTTGGGCTGGAGGAGGCATGGCGTCTGAGGTGGCCACTGGTGATCCCACTTGCTCTCATCGTCCTCAGCACCCAGTAGCATCGGTTTCTGCCCATTGGGCCGCAAGACGATGACAAGACTCCAGCATGGTCTGGCTTCAGTCTGTCCTCCACCTTCTCTCTGGGGGATCCTTGGGGTGCAGCCTACATCCTCCAGCCACACTACACCCCTGCCTTCTGACTGGACCACCCTGCCATCATCACGTCCTTTTTCTTGGTCTACTGGGGACTCCCAGGCTGCCCCTCCTTGCTCTTTGTCTATCTCCCCAGCCAGTCTCCAGGCTCTGGCACTAACGGGCATCAACCCTGATGGCGGTGAGAACAGACTACATGGGCAGATGGCCACTGGGGCCAAGGTCCCCTCTTCTCCTTTTTTTTTTTTTTTTTTTTTGAGACAGAGTCTCACTGTCACCCTTGGTAGAGTGCTATGGCATCACGGCTCACAGCAGCCTCAAACTCTTGGGCTTAAGCGATTCTCTTGCCTCACCCTCCCAAGTAGCTGGGAATACAGGCTCCCGCTACAACACCCGGCTATTTTTTTTGTCGTTTGACAGGCCCAGGCTGGTTCCAACCTGCCAACCCCAGTGTATGTGGCTGGCGCCCTAGCTGCTGAACTACAGGTGCCAAGAGAAGGTCCCCCTCTTCTCACTATCACCTTTCTGTTCCCTGTCCCTTCCCCTCAGTGGACTGGGCTGTGGAGCAGGCCCACTTCGCCTTGTTCTTCAACCAGGGCCAGTGCTGTTGTGCTGGCTCCCGGACCTTTGTGCAGGAGGACGTTTACGATGAGTTTGTGGAGCGCAGCGTCGCCCGGGCCAAGTCTCGGGTAGTTGGGAATCCCTTCGACAGCAGGACGGAACAGGGGCCACAGGTGAGCCGGGCAACTGCAGGGTCGTCTGGGTGTCCTTGGCCAACATGAGAAGCAGAAAGGGCCTCAGGTCTTGGAGTCTTAGCTCTGCCACTTCATGGCTAGGTGCCCTTGGAAAGCCAGTTCTCTCTCTGAGTCTCCATTTCCCTGTCCCTGAGACCTGCCCTGCCTCTTTCACAGGGTGGCTGCAAGTGGAAGCACTTTATATTCTCTTTCATTTTTTTTATCTATTTATTTTAAAGACAGAGTCTCACTTTATTGCCCTCGGTAGAGTGCCGTGGCATCACAGCTCACAGCAACCTCCAGCTCCTGGGCTTAGGCCATTCTCTTGCCTCAGCCTCCCGAGTAGTGGGACCACAGGGGCCCACTGCAACACCCAGCTATTTTTTTGTTGCAGTTTGGCTGGGCTGGGTTTGAACCCACCACCCTCAGTATATGGGGCTGGTGCCCTACCCACTGAGCCACAGGTGCCCCCCTTTTTTTTTTTTTTTTTTTTTTTAATTTTTTTATTTTATTTTTTTTTTGAGATAGAGCCTCAAGCTGTCCCCCTGGGCAGAGTGCCGTGGCATTACAGCTCACAGCAACCTCCAACTCCTGGGCTCAAGCGAGTTTCCTGCCTCCGCCTCCCAGGTAGCTGGGACCACAGGCGCCCGCCACAACGCCCGGCTATTTTTTGGTTGCAGCCGTCATTGTTGTTTGGCAGGTCCGGGCTGGGGATTCGAACCTGCCACCTTAGGTGTACGTGGCTGGCGCCTTAGCCGGTTGAGCTATAGGCGCCGAGTCTTTTATTTTTTAATAACATAAACATATGTTCATTTTAATCAATAAAATACTATCAGTAGTAATTGTAATAAAAGTAAATCACACCTATAATCCCAGCACTCTGGGAGGGCGAGGTGGATGGATTGCTTGAGCTCAGGAGTTAGAGACCACCCTGACTCAGAGTGAGACCCTGTCTCTAAAAAAAGAAATAGCCAGCTTGGCTCCTGTGGCTCAAGCAGCTAAGACGCCAGCCGTATACACCTGAACTGGTAGGCTCAGATCCAGCCCAGGTCACCAAACAATGACAGCTGCAACCAAAAAATAACCGGGCGTTGTGGCAGGCGCCTGTAGTCCCAGCTACTTGAAAGGCGGAGGCAGGAGAATCGCTCGAGCCAAGAAGTTGGAGGTTGCTATGAGCCTTGATGCCAAGGCACTCTACCCAGGTTGACAGCTTGAGGCTCTGTCTCAAAAAAAGAAATAGTTAGGTGTTGTGGTGGGCACCTGTATTCCCAGCTACTAGGGAGCCTGAGCCAAGTGGTTTGGTTAAGCCCCGGAGTTTCAGGTTGCTATGAGCTATGACACCATGACACTCTACTAAGGGCAATAAAGTGAGACTCTGTCTCAAAAAAACAAAAAAGAAAGAAAAGAAAAGAAAATCCAGTCCCCACCACCACCACCTCCAATGACTTGGGTCCATATTCCTGTGCTTTCCTGGCTCACTCCTTGCAGAAGCTGCACTGGTCCTTCCAGCCACACCCTCCCATGGGCCAAGGGGTCACAGAGTCAGGGATGTACCTGCTCCGGCCCTGGCTGCCCTTTCTGGATGTTATTCTGGGTGCTGCTCCCAGAATTGCCCAATGAGGTGGCCCTGAGCCCACTGGCAGGGCCCCACCCTCTTAAGGGTGCTCTGTGCTGCTGTGTCCACTCCCCAGGCTTTGGTGCTGGCCAGGGCCCCATTTTCCTCAATTTTTAGAGTAGTTTTAGGCTTATAGAACACAAGCTGAAGGCACAGGAAGTGCCCACGTACTCCTTTGCACCTCCCTCCTCTCCCAGTTTCCCTTCTATTAACATTTTGCCTTCTCACAGTACATTTATGAGTATGGTATTTGTGAGTACAAATGAGCCACTATTCATACATTGTTATTAACGACAGTCTAGAATTTACATTAGGGGTTGCTCTTCCCATTCTGCATTCAGAGATTTGACAGAGGTGTAATGATGTGTACCTGCCATTCCAGTGTTGCCGAGAACAGTTTTCCTGCCCCAAATCCCTGTCCCTTTACCCGTCCCTTTCTCTCACCCACCCACAGCCCTGGCAACCACTGATGTTTTTATTGTCTCCATAGCTTTGCCTTTTCCAGAATGTTCCAGAGCTGGAGTCGTACAGTATGTAGCCTTTTCCACTTGATTTTTTTCACTTAGCAGTATGTGTTCAAGGTTCCTCCATGCCTTTTCCTGACTTGGTAGCTTTCTCTTGATGCCCTGCATTCCACTGTGTGGCTATACCACAGTTCATTTATGCCTTCACCCGCTAAAGGATGCCTTGGTGTTCCCAAGCTTTGGGAGTCGTGAAGAAAGCCCTGTAAACCAGGGGAGGCAGAGCCAGTACATGTGGGGATGGAGGCCATGGAGTTGCTTTGAGATGCAGGATGGAGCCAGAGGCGCTAGGGGCAGGGATGGGCATGGGCTGCCTCTCCCCACACCACCCACTTTCTGGACAGAGGGAAGTTAGGGAATTGGATCGAAATTCACACTAGACTCCTGGGTTGTTGTAAAGGTGGGAGGAGAGGATGTACCTAAGTTTGTCAGTTTGACTACTTGTCAATCTCTAATCCTGTGGCCCCCATTTAGACTCTTGCCCTGGGGAGGATTTGCCTTTTTCTGTAGCTAGAGGGAGACCCTGCTGACACCCGGGTTTGTGTGTGTCCCCAAGGTGGCAGAAACTTGGACTGTTCTGCTTCTCTCCAATGGGACAAGCCTGAACTCCTGCCCACTGTCACAGGAGCAAGAGATAATGTGGTCCTGAACCTCAGCAGGGGAGCCACGGGGGCTCCCTCACTGGGACAGGGTTTTGTGTCCAGCATCTCTCGAATCTTAACAGCTTTACTGAGATATAATTCACATTCTATTTTAAAGTGGACAATTCACTGGTTTTTAATATATCCAGAAAGTTTTGCAGCCATCACCACTAATTCCAGAACATTTTTGTCACCCTTCAAAAAGTCCTATATCAGGCCAGGTGTGGTGGCTCACACCTATAATCGTAGCACTCTGGGAGACCAGGCGGGTAGACTGCTTGAGTAGCTCAGGAGTTCAAGACCAACCTGAGCAAGAGCAAGATCCCTGTCTCTAAAAAAAAAAAAAAAAAAATAGCTGGGTATTGTGGTGGGCGCCTACAGTCCCAGCTACTCGAGGGGCTAAGGCAAGAGAAGTACTTGAACCCAGGAGTTTGAGGTTGCTGTGAGCTGTGCTGCCACAGCACTCAAGGGCAACAAAGTGAGACTGTCTCAAAAGAAAAAAAAAAAAGTTCTGTGTCCTTAGCAGTCACTCCCCATTCCTCCCTGCCAAGCCCCTGGCAACCACCAACCTAAGTTCTGCCTGTGAATCTGCCTGTTCTGAATGTTTTACACAAATGCTACCATTCACTACTTAGTCCTTTGTGACTGGCTGCTTCCACTTAGCTTAATGTTTACAAGGCTATCCATGTTGTAGCAAGAATGTATCAGAACTTAAGTTTTTATGGCTGAGTAATAGTCCATTGCGTGGCTATATCACATTTTGATTTTCCATTTATGTGTTGAGGGACACTTGGGTTGTTTCCACCTTTTAGCTATTGTGAATAGAACCTCTAGAAACTTCTACATCTCTTTTTCTTTCTTATTTCTCTTTCTGGTTATTTAATTATTAAGGTAATAGAAACTGGTGTGAAAATTTTAATAAGGAAATGTTTAAACAAAAAAATTAAGACTTTCTTGCTTCTCTTTATTCTCCATAAATAACTGCATGCACAAGGTTATGCTGTTGTATATTTTCACAAAAATAGGAGTAGATGGTGCGTATTGTTCTCCAGACTTTCCCCTTTTTTGCAGGATGTCTTGGCCTGTCTTTCTGTGTCAGTTCACGGATCTGTTAGCGATGACATGATATATAGATGTACGATAAAGGTTTTAGCCAGCCTTTACGGATTCATGCGTATAACTGTTTTCATATTTTTCTTTAATGAAATGCCCCCCTTAGTGAATATGCTTGTTCATTCAGTACTCTATCTGCACATGTAGAAAAAATTCTCAGAAGTAAAATAGCTGGGCCAGAGGTAGGAGCATATGCTTTTTGACTGATTCCAGGAAACCACTTGCTGTGGGAGCTGTCCTGGCATCCATTCCTTCTGCCAGTGTAGGTAACATCCCCTCAACATTAGTCTTTTCTTCCTGTTTTATATTTTTGCTGATCTCATAGTTGAAACATAAAAATGGATCTGACATGTATTTCCTTGCCAGCTGATGAGGCTGAACCTTTTTTGTTTGTTTTGTTTGTTTATTTGGTGGCCTTGTGTCTTGCCTCTTCCCACTTTGCTTATTCATGACCTTGGCCCAACTCCCAGCTGTGTCATTGCCTATGCGATTCAAAGCCTGATGCCTAGAAGGGTCTGAACCCAGCCGCGCTGTAACTCTGAGCTCCTTTTCCCACAGGTGGATGAGACTCAGTTTAAGAAGATCCTTGGCTATATCAATTCTGGGAAGCAGGAGGGAGCAAAGCTGCTGTGTGGTGGGGGGCCTGCTGCTGATCGTGGCTATTATATCCAGCCCACTGTGTTTGGAGATGTGAAAGACGGGATGACCATTGCCAAGGAAGAGGTCAGCACTGGGGCCGGCACTCCCGGGATGGGTTGTGGGGTTGAAGAGAGGTAGACAGTTCGGTCTGGCATCTTGACTCCATGACCTAGCTGCTAGCTTTGGGCTAGTTCTTGGCTCTGTGCCTAGAACAGGTTATTTGCAGTTTGCACCTGATTTTGTCATTCTCCTCTTCAGCCTATATGGCTACCCACTGTCTGGGAGATTAGCTAAATCTCCCAGCAGAGCCTGCAGGCCCTTGTGTTCTGGCCCTGAGAGCAATGAGTCTAGGAAGGACTTGCCTTCCTACACGCAGTACTTGCATTAGACCAAAGGGCTGTCTCCCCACAAAATGAGAAGGCTTTAATGTTCCCCCTCAGCGCTCGCTGTGAATGCAGGACAGCAGTTTTAATTCATTTCACAAATACGCAGTAAATGCCTACTGTGTGCTGGGCTCCCTGCAGACCCTGGAGTTCTGGGGGCATCCAGGGTGTGTTCTCTGCCCTCAGGGAGTTTAGAACCACTTCTCCATCCCCACCTGTATGAAGCCCTGAGCAACCCCGTGCAAGGTGCCATTTCCTTTTATGTATATGTAAGACAGTCTAGCAGAGTCTTTCCTTTCCCCATCATGACTACTTGGATGCATTTCTTTTTTTTTTTTT